TGACAGGAATATAAATACGTGCACTAACCTATAAACTGGTATTTACTTCAGGAAGGTAAGTAATATTTTTCCTCTGATTGCTGAGCTGTCAGTTTAATGCAGCGTAAATAAACAGTAGGTGCCTGCTAGCTCGAAGTAGGAAGTGTTCATTCCACACGAGGAACAGATTACTGAAGCCTGATGCTCATCATGCTGAAACATAACTTTCATTTTACCAGAAAATACACCCTACCGTGGATGATTCTTCGTGCCTGATCTATTAATTAACTTAACTCTGTTCTGTCAAAAGGTAAACCAATTTGTTAAATTCACCCCAGAGTTTTGGAGTTTGAAAACCAAATCAATTTGAAAAGCAAGAGTTATGACTATCCTGTAATCTGATCACAAATGCCAAAAATGAATACTAAATATAATAAGCATAAACCATACAAAACTAAAGCAAAGTACATATTTAAATATAGACTTTAATAATCTGGGTGACCAAATTTGCTCCAAAATCTTCCTCCTTTGCCAATTAAAAACAACTGGCACCTTTAATATTTCACAACCTTGTGCTCCTTAGGTCCGTTCAGTATGTATGCTTACTCTGCTGTCTGAAATATCTAAAAGTAAACCATTCATAAAAATAAAAACCACACTCTTTAATTCTAATAGAAATATTACTGAACTCTCCTGAAAAAGGTGGCAAGTTTGAAGATCAAATGATGATACCCTTCCTCACAGCATGCATGTAAAACGTGGGTTTCTTCCCATTTTCTATATACTACAAAGCTATGACGGTATATAGTGCAACTAATTTATTTTTTCCTTATACACAAGTATTAAGCAAAATCTTTCACGGCATTATTTAAAGTGGGAACTCGTCTAAAAAAGGACAGAAGGCAACTTGGGGAGATTTCTATTTAAAACATGGGCAAATCCTGCTAATAAACAATGGGCTGTAAAGGAAGAAGAAGGGCTTAAAAAAATAATATTTTTGCATTCGACAGCAACCTGCCTAGACATGGTCTGAAGATTGATTCAGTCATATGCATTTATTTTATATACTTCATCAATCCCAAGTACTAATGTAAGAGTCATTCAAGACAACACGTCTTGGAAGAAATGATTTGTTTGTGTAAAGGGCATATCAATGTATGGCCCTCCTGGAAATTTACAGAGCAGATGAAAAACCACTAGAGTGCTTTATAGAGTCCCTGCTGTATATCCATGTTGTGTTTAGCTTAATAGTGTTTGTAACCAAAAGATTTTTACAATAATGAGGAACAGGTGCCTGTCACCTGACCTTTTAGGCCTAATTTGCAATCCACAACCTGTCACATGAAAAAAATAATTGAAAATCTCCTTCAGATATTTCAGTCTTTGCTAATTTAATGTAGCCTTTCTTAACCATCACTCAGCATACCATAGCTTATTCAGTCACAGGTTCATATAGCTGGCAACAGACTTCTCTGCAGAAATAAACCAATACTCACTCGTTTTGTTGTTGTTCTTGTTTAAGATGCTGGGAGACAAAAGAACTACTTTTGTAGATTATCAACCAAAGAATATATTAATTTATTACAACAACTAAACAAAAGGCATTCCTTGTGAATACTTTTACATACAAAGAACTATTATTTATTACATATTTCAGCTTGTGGGAAAATGAGGAATGCATTGATTCTGGAAATAACTATTCAGACTTTTGAAAGTTCTTTAGGTCTTCTTTCTCTATCCCCTTTTTTTCCCCCCTTTCTCTCCCTCTTGCTCTCCCCACCCCCACCCCACACAGATTTTAAGGCACTAGTTAGTACTTTAGGAGGGAAATCCTTATCTGTTCTTACTTCACCCATCATTTGTACTCGTTATTCAGAAAGGAATACAAAATTGAACAGTGATTGTTTCTCTTGTATAATCTTGTTACATGTAGCCATACTTAAATTTAACAATGCTTTGTATTTTATGGCTACTGTTTACATATTATGTATTACATATGACTGAACAGCTCTACATTTAAAATATTGTTTCCATTAGAAAAACTATGAAGTAATAAGTGTCAAATGGAGATGAAAAATAAACATGCCTGGTACATTTATAAAATGCAGAGTCACTTAAAATGGGCACAAATAGGATACGTATTTCGCTACTGTTACATTTTACATAGTATACACTCGGTCTAAAGTGTATTTAACAATGTGCCTAACCAAGTTAATTTAAAGTACTTATGTCTGGTGACTGTGTTAAACACTTGGAGAGGTAGTGAAAGATACAGCCAGTTACTTCTGCTAACTAAAGTTGAAATTATGCACTTATTATAACCTTTTCTAACAATGTGAGAAAAACAGAGTAAATATATTAAATTTGTTTCACAACAGATGCTTAGGTTGTTAATATTTAAGATGCCTATTCATGCTATTCCTGTCTGCACATTTGTCAAAAATGTAAGCTTGAATGCTAATGTTTGCCAGCAGACTGGAGCAGCCAGTATATGAATGTACTACTGTTCCACTAAAATAATATGCAATAGAAATAAAGGACTGCTGCTAAATCATAGCATTAGTACCCCACAGCCGATTAAAGGTTTTTAGAGCAAACACCTCAAACCTTGGCTTTTTCCAGTCTTAAAGTACGGTTGTTGTTGTTGTTGTTGTTGTTTACTTTTGCAGCTACGTTTTACTATAGAATAAATCTTACATTCCTGACACCTCAGAAAAATCCACTTTAGATAGGGTGTAAATTTCAATAAAGTTTCAATCGCACGCGTTACTCCCGCAGTAAGTCGATTTTAGGGACTGCTGAGGACAAAACCTGACACCTACCAGTCGCCTTTCACTTGTTTCTTACCCCTCCTCTGTTCCTCTTGGAAAAGTCAGGTCTCCTGGCCTCCAAGGATGCAAGCAGGGAACCCCAGCCAGTCCGGGTAGAACGGTTCTCTCCTGAGAATAGGACGTCTTTTTTTTTTTTTTTTTTAATTTATTTTCCCTGTCTCTGATACAACCACGTAGAGTCCAAGTCTTACAACAATTGCCTGGAAATCTGGAATGCCGCGGAGAAAGTTCGCCGAGGAAGGGCGCAGAGGTCAAAGTTGCCAACCAGGGCACTTTGACGAGGCGATCCTGTGGTTGACACTAGTACGTGAGATTCGCAACGCCCCAGTGGAGGTCGGGGCCAAGATCTCCAGCAAAAGCCCTGAGATCCTCTCCTCCTTCTGGGGGGTCATCCCAAGAGTCACGCTCAGTGCATGTCCCCGGTAGGCGCGTGTCGCTCCCCGTACCTGCCACCTGCCTGCTTCGCCCCCCTTACGGTGGTTGCCCAAACCCACGCTCCGCCGCCCCGGGAGCCTCCGCAGGGAAGCGCCCGGAGGAGGCCGCCACGCTCGGGTCGGGACCGCAGGAGGGAGACACGGTGCGGGCCCTGAGGCCGCACCTGCGATGTGTCAGCCCTGCACAGAGGGCAGCGCCTCTTCCTGCCTTCCAGCCCTACTGCAAACCTGCAGTCGCTCCAGGAGCCCCTTCGGGCCGACCTCACTACCTCCGGCGGGGACTCAAAACGCGGAGTGCCGCGGCTTTCAGAATCCCGGCTCCAACTTGAGCGCCCGGCGCCGGGCGTCCCCGGGATGGAGAAGTTGCCACCAACTTCCTAGGCCCCTCTCCGCCGCCGCTCCCAAGCAGCCGCGCGGGCGGGGGGCGGAGGAGGAAGGAGACGGACCGGGGAAGGATGCTGAGCTCACTTGCGATCCGGCGGGGACCGTCCCCGCTCCCCCAGCCTGCTCTGCCGGGCACCTCTCTGCCAACCCAGCTCCGGGGCGCACGGAGAGGCTTCCTCTCCCTTTTCCCGTTTGCTTCCTTCGCTCTTCTCGGCTCCCCCTTTTCTCTTCCGAAGAGCGGTCGTACGGATGACCTGAGGGGGTTTGTCCACCAGGGTCCGTCGGGCAGGTGTGTCAGGGTGCCCACACCCTGAGGGGGAATGAATGGCATCTCCAAGCCCCCCGTCCCGGGTGCTCTCCCACGCTCTACCGGCCCGCCCCTCCGGGGTTCGGCCGCGCGCGAGAGAAGGGAAGGGGCTCGGGGGGCCCGGCCGCCACCCGTCGGCGGGAGGGCCACCGCGCGGCCCCGGCAAGGGGCGCCGGGGTGGGTGCCACGGAGAAGTTTGGATCGATTCCGAAAACAGAGAGACAGGGATTCGCGAGCAAGAATACGGGGCGGGGGTGGGGGGGTGGGAAGGGAGGCAAAGGAGCAGAACTCACTCAGGCATGGGCGCTGGGGGCGGCGGTGGCTGTCGAGTGCGGGCCCGCGACCAGGAGCAGCTCCCCGGCCGGGCGCGCCCGCGTCGGACTTGCGAGGCGGCGGCTTCTGCCTCCTGTGCCGCCGCCGCCGGAGCTGCGGCTGCCGCGGAAGTTAATTGCAACTTGACTTCAAGTTGTCTTCTTTCCCCATCCGAAGTGGGCGTTTAAAGGGGAGAGCGAGACGAGGAGCGAGCTAGCGAGCGCGCGGGGCCGAGGGAAGGAAGGGGGGAGGGAGGGGATGTTAACGGGGGGAGGGGGAGGGGGAGGGGGCGGCGGCGGGGGCGGGAGGGGGAAGGGGCCGGCGGGAGCTGCTCTCCGCTCGGCGGCCGCGGCGCCCGCAGTCTGGAGGCGCACGGGAGCGGCCGGGGCGCCCCCCGCGGGAGCCCGCAGCCCCCCGGGGCGCGCATCCAGCCGCGGCTGCTCCGGCCCCGCGCGCCGCGCCCGGGGGCTCGGCGGACCCCGCGCCGCCGCCGCTCCCGGGCTGGTGCGAGCGGGCTGGCCGGCGGGGCGGCGAGGGCCCGGCCCGCCTCCCCAGCGCCCGCCCCGGCTTCTCCCCCTGGCGGCGGAGCCTCGGCGGCCGCCGGCTGCACGGAGCGCTGGAGCCCGAGCCGAGCCGAGCCCGAGCCCGAGCCGCCGCCGCCGCCGCCGCCGCCGCCGCCGCCGCCGCTGCGCTCGGCTCCCAGGCTCCCTCCCCGCGCGCCGGCCGGGGTGTGGGGGGCGGCGGGCCCGAGGGGCGAGGGCGGGCGAGAGGCGCGCGCCGGGATTGGCGCCGAAGACCGGACCCTCAGCCGCTAGGGGTAAGTGTGGGCGCCCGGGAGTGCGCAGAGGGGTGCGCGGCGCGGTTCTCGACGCCCGCCGACCCTGCCCCCCTCACCTCTCCCGGGCCCCCACCACGCGCACCCCTCCTCTTGCCGCCTGCGGCTTCCTCTTGTTGTTCGTTGTTTGGCTGAGCTTTTTTTGGGGGGGGGTGGGGGAGAAGCGGGCGATTGCAGTGCGTGTGCCAGGGGAGGAGGAAGTCAGGTGAGAGGGCCCTACGCACCCCCCACCCCCAAACCCAGCCCGCGTGGGGTGTATCGCTCCCCACTAGGGGCATGTGGGCCAGTTTTTTTTTTTTTTCTCTCGTTCATGTTCGGTGGAGACGATCTCTCCTTAGGGGGCCTCCTCCCCTCTCAGTCTGCACGGTCCATCTCCCTCCACCCTGTCCGCGCCCCTCTCTGCACCCCATCCAGGAGTGCTGCACCCCAACTGAGGAGCACGTGGTGGAAGGAGAAGGCGGGGTTGCTCTTGCAGACCCCAACCCCGCGCCCCTGCCCGGCTGTTGAAGCGGTATCCTTCTGTCGGCCGCTTCTTTAAAATCCGCAGGGAAAAGACCCCTAAAGTGAGGTCCAGTTTCTCCAAGAAGCTGGAAGCAAAGGAGGAGGCAAAGTGATGAGACTGTGGTGACAGGGGGGCTCGCGGAGAAGAGGGGCAAGGGAGCCTTTCCAGAAGGTGAATGAAACTTCAAAAACCTCTACGACGGCAGAGTGACTTGGAGGTTCAGGACCCCAGGCTGAGCAGAGAAGGAGAACTCCATCAACTTCGCCCCTCTCATCCAGCCATCCTCCACCCCCACCCCCACCCCCACCCACCGCCCCCACCCAGCTCCTAGGAAGCTAACAGGTCTTTTGTGTTGTGTTCTGTCGTCTTTGGGAAATTTGCATTGAGTATGACAACAGAAAATTACTACTGTTTACTCGAAGTTAAGGGGATTACAGAAAGGAAACATAGTCTACTTTTTTCCCCCCTTCGGTGTGTGTGTAGTTGTTAGGTTCATAGCTTGAACTGCAAAACGTCAGTTTGTAACAATAAGGACTGTAGAGCCTCCTCGGTGTATTTTTAGAAGCTGCACTTTCTTGAGTTCCTTTCACACAAGGCTTGCTCTCTCATTAAGTCCCCATACGTAATTGTATTTAGAGAGAAGGAAACTATGGAAGCAGGAGGGAGATTGCTAAGATCTCCATCCCGCCAGCGCAGAGCACTGTTTGCAGTGAAGTTCCTGGAAAGTGACTGTGGGCTGAGAATTCAGTTTTTCCTAAAAGCTCTGTTAGGTCCTCTTCTGTCAGATGTCTATGAATAAAGCACGCTGGGAAAATCCTCATATTCGTGCAGTCTTATTTTATCTTTTACACAGTGGTTGATTCTACTTTCAAGTCCTGGTAACAGCACATCAACTGTGCTGTATTTTTGTGTGGTTTTTCTAAATAAAGGAGGATAGCGCTTGTATTCATGCTGCTTTCTGATATGCCAGTTCTTTCCTATCAGTGGTATTGGATTCCCTGGAATGTCCATCTTTTTCAGTTGTCATTTTATGCAGAGACCATAATTCCAAAGATATAAGAATATAAAAAGTTTATGAATTAGTGTTATTTTACAGAACTAGCCCCTGGTTTCTAAGGTGGAAGTGCCCACCTCAGCTCCTGGTTCTGTAAAGCAAAGCGATAAGGTATAAATGCCATGGGCAAAACAAAATACAAGTTTTCCTTCCTGGACCACTTTCTGCATGCATAGGACCCAAGAGTCACAAAGTCTCCTGCCTTAATTTACCAAAATGCTGAATTGCCTAACCAGTACCAATATCTCCATCTGGGAATGACATCAGGTTTGGAATGGAAAGAATAAATTCTCAGTCTTTAATTACTGCTTATTAGCAATTTCTTATAGCAGGCAGCTGATTCTCCAATTCTGAAAGGCTGAAATGAAGCTTAACAGAAATTGAAATTAAAAAAAAAAAAAAAGAGGGGGGATTGTTCTTTTCTCCCTTACACACTCTTACACACTCATTTATTCCCCAGAGTTATCAAGTAAGTCCCCTGAATCGAAAGTGTGATATGCTCCCCTGCATTAAACCAAGGGAACATTTTGCCCCAACCTTTTGAATTTGCTTTTTTTCCCCTAAATAGTCTTGAACAGAGAGCTCACAGGCTCTATTATAATACAGAATTATGTAATGATGCGTACAGTGCATTAAGTAACATAACTTGATAAACTCTTTTGTAAACCCTGCCCCCTGGCACATAGTAGAAATACATTAAATACTTACCGAATTAAGATGTTAATGAAATATTGTAATTGGCCACAAATTCAATAGTACTAGGGTAAGCCTTTTTTTTTTTTCCAGAAGAAAAAGATATTTTGCCTGAAAGTTATTAGGGTAATATATTTCTGCTTCTAGATTTTTTTTTTTTAGCAAGTCCAAATCTGATTTAAATGGTTGAAAGACAAGTAAATCGGAGACATAGCAAATGGTCAATAATAATAACTAGTGTCAAAAGCTGATTATTTTCCCAGGAGGATATACCACAAATATTGCCTACTAAATAGTGTGAGAAAGATGCCAAGGAGGGATAAAACAGTATTGGCCTTCAAGGAATTTGTTTGGTGGCAAGATGACCTCAAAATGTGAAAAGACAACTTAATGGATCAGTAAATGGATGGAATCAAAAGAATATTTGAGAAAATACTTTTTTTCTCTTGTAGACCAGAGGAAATAGATGCCTGGTTGGAATGTATTTTTGAACTTAATTTGTCCAGTCAAACCTTCAGGGGGTATCAAGGCAAGCATAGGGAGTGAGGGGGAACTCACCACTTACCTACATAAAGGCATTTTATCTACAGAATAGTTACCACAGGGTAAATAAAGCTTGATTGCATACCGTGGGTATAAATAAAGAGAATCCTAAGTAATTCATTCCATCTTTATATACTTCATTACATTTTTAAAAATTGAACAAGATTGATGCAGACTTCCCTCAAACTTTCTACCCTAAAACTCCTAAATCCTATAAACCCTAAAACTTCCAACCACTAGTCTTAGTTCTGCCAAACAGAGCAAATCTGTTATGTTAGTCAGGAGAGGCTATCTTATGCCAGGATAACAGGCAGTTCCAGCGTTTGATTATCTACAATGACAAAAATTGTTTTCCAGGTTGTGGTGAGTCCGCTGCAAGTCAGTTGATCTGTTCCATGTCTCCTCAATCAGGATTCCAGACTGATAGAACAGTTGCCATCTTGAATGTTTTACGTTGCTATGGGGAGAATAAAGATTACTCCAGAGGGTGTCAGGCTGGCATTTAAATCCTATGGCCAGAAGTGACACACATCATTTGGGCTTCAACCTAGTTGGCCAGGACTAGTTGCATGGCTTCATTGAATCATCACAATGAGGCCACATCGTGCTGCCTACCTCGTGCCCCAAAGTAGAGAGCTATGCTGCACAACTTTTAAGGACTAACACACTCTTAGTGACTCTTTGCGCCAATATTCTCTAGGTAAGTGACCCCACCCTGCTCCTTCGTGGCCTAAATGTTCCATTCTTCAGGGTAAGCTCCAGAGAGGCCATCAAATTATAGGGAGACGTGCATGCTGTGACTTCTCTTTGAATGAAGTACTACAGCCCCATATCCCTTCCCCCAAAATTGTGGCACCCTATCAATTTTAAGCCACTCTATATGTATTTCCTAATATTGTATGTATTTTATTTTTCAAGACTTGTTTTCCGAGAAAGGGTGCCATGAACAGGAACTTTTAAGAAGTGTTATCTGGGGGGGGGGGGGAGGTGTTATCTGAAAATGTCATGATCATTATCAAATTTTGAAATTTTGTCTTGAGTAGTTACTTCCCTTATTTTAAATATCAAAATTTTGCAACACAAATAAAAAACTCTCTTGGAAGTATTCATCCATTCATTCATTCATTCACTTATGCATCTTTTTGTTCATTCAATAAATAACTCATGTATTGATGCCAGATACTCTATTAAGGACCGCGTTTATGGAGATAATTAAGAGTTTTTTTTTTCAAGAAATATGTTTTCCAGTTGGGCACACAGAAAGAAAAGTCATTTCAATGCTAGTAGAGGCACAAAGTGCTGTGGGAACACTTGGGAAGAAGTAAATAACTCTGCTGGATTTAGGAAAGTTCTGTAGCAGAATTGAACCAAGTCCTGAGGAAAAGTGAGACTCTTCTTGGCAGAAGGAGGATAGAGGATATTTCAAGCAGTGAGACCAGTATGAGTAAAGGCACTTAGGATGTCCATCCCAGGACCCTAAGATCATGACCTGAGCCAAAATCGAGAATCCATCGCTTAATGGACTGAGCCACCCAGGTGCCCCTGGTCTTCAAATTGTTAAGGAGAAGTTGCTAATTTGGTTTTATATGAAAAATTGAAATATTAAATGTTGAGAACTTACCCACATTTCAAAGTACACATGTGGGGTGAAAACCTGTACAGATAAAAATCAGGTTAAAGACCAACAATCAAATGTCTCCTACTATAGGAGATAGGGAGTCATTAAAAATTGTAAGGATGGGGGTAATACTATCAGAACTCTTTAGAAAGTTCACTTTGAGGGGATCTGGCTGGCTCAGTTGGTGAAGCCTGTGACTTTTGATCTCAGAGTTGTGGGTTCAAGCCCCATGCTGGGAGTACTTAAAAATAAAAATCTTAAAAATAATAGATCTCTCTGGTGGCATAGTGGAAAGGAAAAGTCTGGAGGCTATAGCTGATACTCCATCATATCATTTGAGGATGATGCAAAGCCCTTAATAACACTGCCCTTTTTATAATGTACAACTTTTCATGTATATAGGGGGCACCTGATAAATATTTCAAGAGCTAATGGATGAAAGAGAAGTTAAAGTTTTAGAAGGAGGGCACACTTTTTGAGGGCTCCTTATGCCATATGCTTCCTTTGTTGGACTGTTAATTTTTCAAGAGCACAATGATCTTATATTGATCATATGTAATTTTTCTCTCTGT